ATATAAAGTCAATAATAAAGATGAAAGCGCGAAAAATATTGAAAGTAGTCTCAAAATGCAATGCGCAATTGAACCCACGTCGTTCATTTTTTTAAGTAGCGCCGCTATAACGGCAAAACGCCACATAGTGGCGTTATGTGGTAATATAGTGCCGCTAAGTATCGCAATCATTCTAGTGATATAGCGCCGCTAAGTATCGCAATTATTCTAGTGTGATATAGCGCCGCTAAGTATCGCAATCATTCTAGTGTGATATAGCGCCGCTAAGTATCAAATTTTTTTCTAGCGCTTTGCGTCGCAATAGTAGTGCAATAATGTCACTATACTTGGTACATGTTGATCTTTAAAAAAATAATTAATTGAATGTGCAATATCGTCTTCAAAATCTTAATGATATGATTGGTTGAGATAATTATGATTCACAGAAACAGCAGATGGTATTGGTAATAGTTCGAATCTTATCTCAGGAACCTCGACTTCTGTCTGATAATTCATTTTTTATTCACTTTTAGATAACATGTATCGCTTTTCTTATAAAGTTAATCAACGACGTCTTAGTCGAAAATTAAAACGTCAATCGGTTGGTCACATAATTGTTTCTGATAATGACTCTTCTGATGAGAACTATGTTGGTGATAATGGTGAACAACGTGTAAAGATATTTTGATACCGTGTCATCTTCTTTCTCGATTTTCAATCGTCTTCTCTCCATTCTTTCTCTTTTTCTTCGTTTGTATCATCAGAAAGACTCGTGAAATTTGTTGATTATCATTAGTTAGATAGATCACCTTCTCCATTTGTGTAAGTTATCGCAGAGTATATGAACAAATTTAAACAAACATATCGTCAGGAGCTTCATTCATTTGAAGAAACATCCTTCTTAGCAGTTAACATTCATGATATTTCATTTTCATCACGTATTAATAATGTGGATGATGAGATTAATTGGGAAAGTGATGAAGAATACGAAGGTGATCAACGACCGCTTTATAATGGTTCTTCAATCACAGTCATTAATGCTGTTCATCAAATTACTAACTTTTATTTGAATAATAATTTGGACAAGCAAAAAGTGAATAGTTTACTTCGTTTAATAAAACATTTATTACCAAAACCAAACTTATTACCATCAACATTAAAACGTATAAAGAAATTCTTAAATCATGTACCACCAACATCTACTAAATTATTATGTAGTGACTGTTATCATTTATGTAGCAAACCTGAAACACGTACTCAAACATGTATCAATCCGAAGTGCACAACGTCGTTTCGACCACGTCGAGCGACAGAAATAATTGAGATCGTTCGTTTTGACGTTAGGACTCAAATTCAGTCGATCATGCATCGAAATGCTACGTTTATCAACAAACCGCAATATTTTCCACCTAGTGATATTTGTTTCGGTCAACAATACCAACAAATGGCTGGTATAAAACACAATAAAATTACTTTAATTTTACATTCAGATGGTGCACCAATTGTTCATTCATCAAAAAAATCGATTTGGCCCTGTTTCGCATCCATTACTGAAATTCCTCCACCAATGAGAGAATTTCAATCAAATATAATTACTTTGGCACTTTGGTTATCAAAGAAAAAGCCAAACGTTAACATTTTTCTAGATGAAACTATCAATGATCTTTCCTTATTAATTCGAAATGGTACGTCAATTTTTATTGATAATGAAGAATACAAAATTCAACTTGATACACAATTCTTTATTGCGGATTTACCAGCCAAGTCGGTATTTTGTTGTACAACGTATTTCAATGGTTATTCTGCATGTACTTTTTGTTGTAGCAGAGGTAAGTTGTATTTATTTCTATTTATAAAATGATGATTTTTTCACTATAGATAAAAGTTTTAATCTCTTGTCGTTGGAAAAAAAATATTATTATTTAGATTACATAGATGATTCACTATATATATCTAAATATTTTCCCGACAGTAACAATTCTTTTGAGAATTGTAGAATAAGTTCAACCTGATTGAAAAGAAAAAAATTCGAATTTTTATTTCTTTTATTTTTATCTGATAAATAAAAATAAATTTTTTTATGATAACTCTCTTCACAATAATAAATGCTTCTATCGTCTTCTATTTAATAAACTGTTTTTTATTAATTTTCTAGGTATTTGGAGCTCAACTTATAATAAAGTACTTTATCCATACAAAAATAATAATCTTACTGCTCGAACTCATGATAGTTACATCAAAGCAGCTGAAGAAGCTATCCTGAAATCAAATAGAGGCAAAGAAGTAGCTGTTGATGGTATTAAAAATTTTTCATCTCTTCTTCGAATATTCAAGTACCCTACACAAATAATTTATGATTTTATGCATCTAGTGTGCCTTGGTCATATTCCATATTTAATTAATCGATGGTGTTCTTTCTTAGATAAAAAATCAATTTTAGATATCGACAAGAAACTTCAAGATTTATGTATTCCACATAACATGAAAGTTATATTTTTAGAATCTATCACAATGGCATCTCATTGGAAGGCAAAAAATTCTCGTCTATTTGTTTTACATGTTGGAGTTCCTGTAATGCTTAATAAATTACCGAACCTTCTTTTTTCTCATTTTGTGATATATTCGTTAGCCATTAAACTTTTATATGCACCTGATACAAAAGATGATATTATATTTGCTGAACGTCTGATTGATTATTATTGTCGAACAGCTTCAATGGTTCATGATACATCTATCGAAATTTTTTCTTTGCATGCGCATCTTCATTTAGCATATCAAGTTCGTCTACATGGTGGTCTGGCACATACATCTGCATTTGTATTTGAATCAGTAATTAAATATATTAAAAAAAAAGCTCATGGTAGTTTCAATCTCGCTTCTCAAATCGCATATTGGATTAACATACGTCATGCAGTAAATTCAAACAAGTATAAATTACCACAAGATTGTCTCATAAATGTAAATATTATAAAGAGAAAAAGACATACTATTTTTTTGTCTGCACACAGAAGTCTATTTTATTTTATCTCACAAAGATAATCAGAGAGAGAGAAAGATTATAGTGTCTTTTTTTTTCTTCTGACTAATTTTTCAGCGTATTGTATGAATTTATTCTTTTTCTCAAACAAAACAGACGGCGAAGCAAGCGAATAGAATATAATGTATCATAAGAGTCACTATTTATATTTATGCCATTCTCTATAAGTGTGGACAATCTTTATCTTTTTATTGTTTTTCTTTTACTAACACAGGAATTCAATTGGTCAGACCCGATATTCATTCAATATCTTTCAGTGTTTCGTAGTTCATTAGCTTGCAACAACATTGACAACAATATTAAGTTATGCCTGTACAAACGTTACCGTTCTTCATTCGTCACATTTCATTCTTTGGTATATGATCATGCATTTAACTGTAACAGTCACATTGTTTCTTTTATTGACAACAAAAATATTAGTGTTATTCATTATGGTAATATAATCACATTCTTCTCAAGAGACAATAAGAATTATGCTTTCATTCAACAATACGTTTATTGCGATAAACAGATTTCACATTACGTTGAGCTGCCCAATGAATTATATGCTCGAATAAACACATATTTTCCTATTGTTTCTCTTTCAAACAGTTTTACAATCATTCCAGTTAATAGTATTCGTCATAAGTGTATTGTAGTTCCAACAGTCGATGCATTTTGTATATCAGAGATTAAAATTGATTACGAGCATGATTGATTTTAATCAAACTTGCTGGATATTTTTACTCATAATCTGCTCTAGCTATAATTCTTTCTTGTTTCAGATTATGATGAATGAAAACAATCTTTATAGTAGAAATTATACGTCAAAACGTAAAACAATTGAACATAATGAAACGTATCATGTCATCATATTTCCATGTGATAATTCATTTTCAGTTGTAAAAGCAAAGCAATGTGCTCCTGCTGAACAAGATGGTTTTGTTATGGTTCATTCTGGTGGTAAAAAATATATGGGTTTTATATTTGAAACAGGTAATATGACAAATAATAATTGAAATCGAGGATATTATTATTTTTTAATTATTACAGGTAGTTTTCAAATATGCAGTAAAGCTGCTGATCTTCTTTCACAAAAACAACATGATGCTATAGAGAGTGATTATGAAAGAGGAAATGAAAATACTTTATCAAATGATATCAATTCTAATGTATCAGGTAAATATTTGTGTAAATACGTACATATTTATTCTTACTTGTGTAAGTTTTTATTTAAGAAAAAAAAACTTTCACTTCATTAAAAGACGTACCATTTTCAATCGATGTTATTACAAATGAATCTAATGAACGTTCTCCTCGGCATACGATTTCTGATTCAACAAGTAAGTTATCTGACAGATATTAATATCTTTCTGATTTTATTTTAACTATCAACGTAAGAAAAGACAGTATAAGAACAATCGCTTTAAGTTACTTCTAAATTTGTGACATATTATATGTAAATTTACTTTCGAATTTTATAGATGTGAATCATGCTGTAACACCAATTCGAGGGAAGGCTGGTGGTGGTAACAGCCGAGTAACTAAAAGTGTGTTTAGTTTTCTGAAGCAGGATGATTATCTTTTTTTTGAAATTCTAGGTTGGCAACGAACTCGTAATGAGTATTGTGGAGTAGCTGGTGGTGATATAAATGTAGCATGTAAATATATATCTTTATTTTCATTATTTATTGTATATTATTTGCAGTGACAACTACTTCATCTCGTTATTGCACTAATTCAACACCTATATCATCCTCAAAAAATGATAATGATTTAATTTTGATACCAGGAACACCAACATCACATTCAATTCCAAGCACTACTGTACGTAAAAGACCAATTGCAGATTCGGTTTCTTCATCACGAAAGAAAAAGAAGAAAAAACGCGAAAATATACAAGAAGATGATAATATATCATCATGTGATGCTGAATCTGATGAAGATAACATTATACATTCAATTGATTCGATAAAAACTCCTACATTTCATGGTCGTCGGTTAAATAATGCTTCTACTATTGATTCTACACCCGACAAGCCTATGAATAAAGACAGTTTTTTTCAATACATAGAGACAAAATATTTGACACAATTGTTAATCGGTCAAGAACGATTAGAAGCGAGGATCAAATCTATATACAAGAATCAAATAAAAATTCAAAAAGCGTTAAATAAAAGACAAGTATGTTTTTCTAACTTATTTCCTTAAGGATTAACAAAAGCTACTGGATAGAAAATTCACCAGTTAGTATTGTGAAAGTCGAGCGGATACATCAACTGAATTAAGAACCTATAGTCATATCAATTAAAATTAGAACTTGAATTTGTATTTTTTTTTTAAACATTTTATATATGTTGTTATTCATCCTCCATTTGGTACATCTTGTATATATACATGATTAATGTAGGATTATCTAGTACAGCTCACCTAGAGATTATACTATTGATATCGTTTCATTAACAATCAAAAGAAACGAAAAAATAAAAATTGTTGGTATTGTCAGACATCATATTGATTTGATTTTCACTTCTTCATGTTCATTGAACATGGGTGAATATTTAACCAGTTAAAATAGTGTGTCATATAGTACTATCTTACCGCATGAAATTAATAAATTCCTTATATTTGCTATAAAATATTCACCAAGAAAAGAATCAAGTAATAATGAGACGATATCAACAGTATAATTTCTAGGTGAGCTCTACTAGATAATTTTACATTGATCATGTACATACACAAGATCTATCAAATGGAGGATGAATAACGACACAAAATGTTTTTAAAAAATTAAGAATTTAAGCTCTACTTTTAATTGATATGACAATAATCAAAATGGAAATGGCAGTTTTATAATTTTTTCGTAGAAATACAATGAAATCATGAAGCTATTAGCGCTAAAGACCTAAAAATCGCTTTGAAAAGTATTTTGCAAGAAATCTCAACTACTTTTTTATGCATAAAAATGAAAAACTTAATTAATTCATATTTCTTTTAAAAAATATTTATTTGACTTTACTCTTGAGAAATAGTTTAAATGAAAACTTTTGTTATTATGAAATAAAGTGTCATTGAAATTAACATATATTCTAATTTAGATACATATTTCACTTGAAGAACCAGGTAATGTTGGTGTTGATGATGCTGATTTTCCTTCATCTGTAGTAAGTACAGTTTTTACTTTTATTCTTACTTCGATTTTCTCTACATAGATTTTTAAATTAACTGAAGATGAACCTGGTGTCGACTTATTGAATGTTCATGGGACAAAAGAAAAAGCAAATCTTTATGTAACGACATTAATACAATTGATGTACACTATAGAAGAACTAGCTGCATTAGCACCAGCAGATACGTACAATGACAAGAGATATATGCTGATCAAAGGTAAGAATTCCGTTTTCTTTATCGATCTGAAATTTTCTCTCTTTATTTTCAGAAGCTGTTCGTGTTAAGTTTAAACTTAATGAAGAACAATTAGAACAGATGTTCAATGAATGGCTACGTGAAGTTTTTCTAGCAAAAAGACGAGTAGCTGTTGCAAAATTGAAAAATGAAAAACAATAACAATAATGTCTTCTTATATAGAACTTTTTTTCTTGGTTGTTAATATACATAATATGTATTTTTCTTTAATTTATGGAAATAAAATTAAAAAAAAAATAATCACATAACTTTTCTTGAAAGAAATCTTTAAATATGAGCTAGTAGAAGCTATAAAATTTACAAGAGTCTAGAAGTATCACAATCGTTGAAGTTATAACGCTATAATGCACAATATTCTCTATTAACGCCGTTATAGTGCACCATCACACTCATAGCGGAGCGCTAAAAGGGGTCACAGTGTGATCGCAATAACGCCGTTATCACGCCGCTATTTAACCGTTATCGACGACGTGGGACTTGATTATGAAAGTGAAAATTATAATCGATTTTCTATTTTATAGAAAATACTGAGATGGCAAAGAAAAATAAAAATTCAATAGAGAATTCCTTTGAGCTTTTCTAAAATATCTTTTTCGACCCTCATAATTTATTTTCTAATTTACAATGTATTGTTCCTTGTTTAACTTGTAGAATTGAATAGATTATGCAGTGTCTGATATTTATGTTATTAATAATGGTTTATTTTCTCTGCTTGATTCAAAATCAGACATGATGTGTACAATTCATATCACTATAATACTAAAACAGTTGATCACTGAAAGGAAAAAGTTTTTGTTGACCAAAAAGATGAATGAAAGACATATGAGCGTTTGTTGTTCATTGCAATGCTATTGATTTAAATTACTAATCAATCATATTTCAATGATATCTACCGACTTGATGTGAAACGTAAACGACTCCAATTGTAATAGACTTGCATAATGGTGATCAAGAAATCAAAATCAAGCTTCAGACTGTGTGACCCATTTTGAAGCGTGTTGAGTAGCGCTGATAAGCAGAATACCACGCAATTTTGACAACAGATAATGAATGTAGTTTTGTATTCTTTCTTTATCACAACTTACCGGTCTTATGTAAGAAAGCGAATAAGATCGTTTACCGCAGCTATAACTCGTAATTTAACTTCACAGAATTATCAATCATTCAAATACGAAGCTTAGAGTTCAACATTGAAGTAACATAAATTTTCAATGGCCCAAAAGTCTGAAATATTACAAGAATATGCATGGTATTGTATGTGAAGCGGAATTCATTTTCTCATATCTAATACTTAAGTATTATTCACTCTACAGAAATCGATGGCCACTTCTTTTGTCTGTCTTTAAAGTGCAGAAAAATCTTTTTACAATCTGATTCTAAAGTCATTTCATACAGTTCACTTTTTGTAGAAACTTTTCAATTGATTGTTTAAGTTAATCTCTTTTCTGGACAAAGAAGTTCCACAAAGGATACTTTTCAATAGTTCATCTACAAGTGCTTCTATTTGTCTATTTCCAAAACATGTTCACGGTTCTAGATGCTACTGTATAGGAGAAACAAACTTCATACGAAAGTATGATCCTTTGGTGAAATGCATTTCGAAAAGTAATATTCCCAAAATCCGATTCCTCGTATAAAACTCTGATTGCCATATATCAGGATGCATCGAACTGAAAAGGAATGATGTCATAGGGTAGTTTCGAGAGA